ATCACAACATTATGGGATCTTTGAGGTCTCAGTTGTGACCCGTGGCCAAGGTGGAATCATGTCTGAAAATTCCATAACTGGCCTGTAGGCAGGAGAACTAGGCCTAACCAAGTGATTTTTCCATAAAATTATGTAGTATTGCTCCTGACACACATGCAGACCCACAAGTAGAAACGTGTGGATAAGGACAAAGCACCTCCAAAATTTCCAACTCCCCTAAAGCTAATCCATGTGGAATTAATGTGGAGTAAATCAAAAGCCAAATAGCTAAATTCAATGAAATGATAAAATACCACACAAATCAGATCAATAAAGTCCTCAGAAAACTCAAAGATGGTATAACTATACAGGTAACAGACATTAAAAAACAAAATGATTAATGACAATAATAAAATGATAGCTGAGGTTAAAAAAAAAACATGAATGATGAGGTTAGTAAAGAATTAGATTCTATGAAAAGGTACCAAACAGAAACGCAGAAGATTAAAAATTGAATTTTAAGTATGGGCATCTGAAGTGACTAATGTAAGGACAGAATGTCAGAACTAGAAAATAGGGCTGCTGATAGAAAAATAATTATCTATTTCTATCTAATCTTATTTTCATTTTGAACTGACTTCATTCGTCATGGTATTGTTGGCTAACATAGTTGTGACTCTCAGGGTACCTAGGAAAAGAAACCTGGAGTCCACTACAGAAGAAAGCTGTGTCTATGTGTGAAGGATACTTGTGATGAGTGGGAACAGAAAGACAAGGGGGAGAAAGGATGGCATAGGCATGGCTTCCCAGGCAGAAGGATATCCAGCATCAGGATGGGCAGTGAAAGAAAGCTCTAAAATCCATGTCTCATTTCCTGTTAATTATTTCAATAATGTTACAAAAGAATGATTTTACATTTGATACATGAATTTCTTACTAGGAAATTTGTATGCATTAAATACTTGAAATCCCTCAATTATAAGAGCTATTGCAGCATTGAGGCACAATTTGTTCAATGTCCTACTTCTGCCTTGCAATACTCCCCCACTTTCTCCTACTGCAACCTCCACAATTAGCCTGATATTAGAGTTGAGTGATTGTCTTTCTCATCATAAGTTTCAGCTTAGGATACAACAACAAATTTTTGCTTTCTCTTCAGTGCTATAAAAATCTCAATGCAACTCATACAGTTTCTCTTAATTTTTTCATTTGGAGTGGAAGATGTGATGTGTATTATCTCAGGTGAGTAATGTTTTATCTTCAAGAAATTAGATGAAAGTTGTATCAACCTAATAGACATTACAGCTGGAAGTTTCAGGAAGCACGTTTTCAGGAGCTATGTTTATTGTTAAATAATATTTCTTGAAAATTAAGAGTCAGAAAATGTATTAAGAGTTTACATATTGTAAAATAAGTTGAAAAGCATGAAATTGTTGAAATCTTTAATTATAAAAAGGTTCTAAATAAGTATCTTATGGAACACTATTTCCAATGGTGAAATGAGGGTTTAAATATGATTATCTGTTCTAAATTAGAGATGATTCCCTAACTTTGCTTTTGGAAATTTTATAAATGAATTAGTGCCTCAATTAAAAATGTAGCACTGGTTTCAGTCCATAGCTTTAAAATGTGAAGAAAAGCACAAATTGAAAATTTTTGACAGAATAGGAAAAATATTCATAAAATATACTTATGGAATGATAGTCCTTTCAAAAATGTCACCAGAAATGGTCAGTGATTTACACAGAAGTCACTACACCCTTCATTGTTTTGATGGTGCAGCAGCTACACGAAAATTTCCTCACCAGTGGATTCCATGCCATGGCCAAGGCCATTTTTCATCTCTGAGCCAACTCCATGTTTTGTTTCTGTTTGGCATAGGGTAGCTGAGGTATTGATCAACCAATCAACCTGCATGTGGATGAAGACAATACCTGGGAACAGAAGGTAAGCCCAGGGGGAAAATATGGGCCTGTCCAGCAGCTCTACCCTCAAGCAAAGACCATGACATCATAAATGACAATACAGCATGAGGTTTTACTCTGAAAGTGATTCCTACATGGCATACTAGAATTGGAGAAGAAATCCAGTGCAGTGCCTTCCATGTTGCCAGAGAGTGTTTAGTCAGGTGCCATTTAGGAAGGGATTGGTTATTTAAAATTGAGCTGCAGAACAACTGCAGAATAACCTCACTTCAGAGTTGCCATTGTTAACCTTATCAGGGAGTGAGGGAGAAACAGCCATAAGAGGAAACTACAGAGAGAGTGTGGACTAGGGGTGGACCCTTTGAAAATTTTAAGTTTAGGGCACAAAAAAAGAAAACAAACTCACCCTCCAGAGTGAGAAAATGGGTAGAGTGAGTATGCCTTTCTAAGGAGGCTGGATCTGAAAGTGTTAGAAATAAGTTCAACAATATGCTTGAACACCTGCACTACAGCTTACAATCAGCAGAGACCAGGTGGCTGATTGCTTTTTTCATCCACCAACATGGGCAAGAACACAGTTTGATCAGAACAGAAATCAATGAATTAATGGCTAGAAAAAAATAAAAGGAGTCAATGAATTGAAGAACTGCATTTTTTCTTTGAAAATAATAAACAAAGAAAAACTTTTTACTTAAAAACAGTTTCTGCACACCAAAGAAAACAACCAATAGCATGAAGAGACAACCAATAGAATGGGAAAAAATGGCCAGATATTCTTCAGAGGACTAATGTCCAGATTATGTGAAAAGAATAAAAAAATTAGACCCTCAAAATAGAAGACCTGATCAAATAATCGTAAACTGAAATGAATACAGATGGCCAGAAGAAGAGATACAAATGTTCAACATCTCTGGCCTTTTCAAGAAACACAATTTAAAGCAATACTGATATTTCTTCTTACTCCAGAAAGAATGACTTGCTAATGTTAAGATAGCAAATAATAGCAAATACTAACAAGGCTTCAGGAAATGGGAACTCTTGTACGTTGTTGGTGGAAATGCAAATTAGTAAAACCACTATGGATTTTGGATTCCTCCAAAACTAATAGTAGATATTATGTTTGACCTATTTTCTTTCCAGACATCTTCTCAAAAGTGACAAAGGTATCAGACTGCAGGTATCATGTGTGTATCACATACATGAATTCCCAAATTTATAGCAATACAGTTTTTAATAGCTAAATTTTGGGAAAAGCCTATATATTCATCAACAGATGAATAGATAAAGAAAATGTGGTCTTTGTACAAAATAGAGTACCACTCTTCCATAGAGCAGGATAAACATTCATTGTTTGCAGGAAAATGGATGCATTTCAAGAGCATAATATTAAGTGAAATAAATTAGACCCATTAGGTATTGAGTTGTTTGTTTTTTAATTTTTGGAAGTACATGTTTGCTAACTCATTAAGATAAGAATTTCCCATAAGATGAGACAGAATATTATGGACAAGTTATTTTGCTTCTCTTAGAATTAATTGCAAAAGCAGATTGCTTGTGTTTTCAAGGGAGGTTCTTATAAGCTTCAACTGTAAGGCAATATTTTCTAATTATTGGTCATGTCGACCTACATGGCTGTCTTCCACATTCTACAATTGACTTAATGCATATAGATAACACACTTTGAATATACAGGAAAATTTGACAATTTATTTCACCAAGAGACTATCACAATTTTAAATAAAACTAACTATAACTGCACAGACCTTTAGAAGCACCAATTCTGCACTAACCGGGAGTATAAGCAAAGATCAGTCAAGAGACAACTAAGTTGTCTGAAAACCACAGCTTTGACCTAGTGATTGTACAACATTTTAAGACAAGTATTCATTTTTCCAAAATGCTAAAGAATAAGCTACCTAAGGTATAAATTGAAAAGCATTTGGATGATTCAGAGGCTTGCCAAAATTATAGAACTTTGCTCCAGAACAGGCTTCCCCAAGCCTTGGCCACAGACTGTTCCACTGACTGTGAGGAATTGGGCCACACTGCGAGGAATCAAGAAGTAAGAAGCAGGCAAATGATCCAGTCCCCAAGGCTTATATTATTTCCTGAGATCTGCCTATTGTAAGATCAGCAGTGCCTTTAAATTCTCATAGGAGCTCAAGCTGCACATGCATGTGAACTACACATGGAAGAGATCTAGGTTGCATGTTCCGTAAAGAAATTTAATGCTTGATAATCTGAGGTTGTGTTTAGGTGGTGATGCTAGTGCTGTGGAATTGATGCAAATAGGGATTAAAATTAGCAGATGGATTGCACTGTACAGAGATCAAAATAAATCAATTCTTTGCAGACTCATATCACAACCCTACTAGTGAGTGGCATGTGAAAAAATAGGCTGCATTTGATGGCAGGCTTTTAATCACAATCTAACTCTTACTGTGGACTCTACAAAACCTGCTCATATTTTTCCTGATTCTGAATTATGATGGGTTGTATATTTATTTTATTATATATTACAAAGTTATAATTTACAATAAAAATAATGTGCTTGAATCATTCCAAACTGCCCTCCCTCCAGTCTGAAGACAAATTTTCTTTCATAAAGTTAGTCCTGGGTGTCAAACAGGTTTGGAACTGTTACTTCAGAAGTTAGGTTTGATTAATGCACCCTCATATTACTTTTGTTGCCAATCACAGATTATTTATCAAAAATACATGTATTATCTTTCTTTGCAATCCAAGGACTTACTTCAAATGTGGAAAAGAGTGTGGGTGTTCAATGAGGGATATATGATTTACAAGAGAAGACAAATTGTGGAAGAAAGAGATTTTTTAAAACCTGAATATTTACATGGATTTATAATGTTAATTATAACTTTTACTTCAATTTAAGGCACAGTTGAAAACATTTAAAAATATTAAATTCATATAGAGTATGTGTTAAACATAGGATGATTGTTCTCGTTGCCATATTCTGTTTAACACACATCCACAGTGTTACCAAGTATTTCCAGTGTTGTCACCCACAAGCGATATTGCTGTTAACCCAGAAACTATTTGTTTTATGTTATTTATACCCTATTTTTTCCATAGATTTACCAACAACATAGAGTTTAAAAATGAGACAATGGTTTCAAAATTCATTTTTCTAGGCCTGACGAATGACCAAGAACTTGAGCCCCTCATCTTTATCGCATTCCTGGTCATGTACCTCATTACCATCCTGGGAAACCTGCTCATTATCCTAGCTGTCACCTCTGATTCCCACCTCCATACCCCCATGTACTTCTTCCTCTCCAACCTGTCCTTTATTGACATCTGTATGAGCACAACCACTATACCAAAGATGCTGATGAACATCCAAACACAGGACCATAGTATCTCTTACACAAGCTGCCTCTTGCAGGCATGCTTTGTCTTGACTTTTGGTTGTTTAGAAAATTGTCTCCTTGCAGTCATGGCCTACGACTGTTATGTGGCTATTTGTCACCCTGTGAGGTACAGAGTCATCCTGACCTGGTACTTCTGTGTCCTGTTGGTTCTACTCTCCATGCTCACTAGCACTGTGCATGCTCTGCTCCACACTCTGGTGGTGTTGCGCCTGTCCTTCTGCATTGACCTAGAAATCACTCACTTCTTCTGTGAACTTTCTCAGGTCATTAAACTCACCTGCTCTGACACCCTTATCAATACCCTTTTGATATATTCAGCAGGAAACACATTTTTTGCTATTCCAATGGCTGGAATTATTTTCTCTTATACTAAAATTGTCTCTGTTTTGAGAATGCCTTCAGTTCGGATAAGGTATAAAGCTTTTTCCACCTGTGAATCTCACCTCTCTGCTGTTTTCGTATTCTATGGGACAAGTTTGGGTGTGTACTCAGGTTCTGAAGTCATTGACTCTTCTATTAAGAATGCAGTGGCTTCAGTAATGTACATTGTGATCCCTCAAATGATGAACCCCTTTATTTACAGTTTGAGAAACAAGGAAATGAAGAGAGCTCTGATGAATCTCATCATTGAAAACCTTTTAAAGTCTTGTGTCATTGTTTCTGAGTCTCGGTTTCTAGAATGTGTTGAATTGACAAGACAACAGTTGAAACGGAAAGTCAGAGGGTTACATCATCGAGTTCTTGAAAGATAACTATGTGATATGATTTCTAAGTACATTTCAACTTGTATTTTAAGCTTCTTTTTGATTCATCCAATTCTGTGATGTTTAAAAATGATTTTGATCCCTAAATTCCACTGCGTTAATATAACTTCTTAGATGAAAAACATGATTTTTTTTTTACTTCAATTTTAACAATTATTAACTGATTGTTTCCAGAAAAAGTAACATTGGAATATTTGCATTAATCAGGGATAGATAAAACAAAAGCTGTGTTAATATCTGGAGAGGTGCTCTTTCATGATTCCATAGTAAAAGACATGTGTGTTTCATCCATTATGTAGCAAGTGAACTGAACTTTAATGCATGTTTAATTAATTACTGAGACTTTCCCTAGACAACTATATTCTTCTCAGGTCATATTAACATCTCCCTTACTCAGCTTCATCATTTATTTAATTCACATAATTAGATTGTATGAATAATTGGAGATGTTTTAAAGATATTTGTGATTTTGGAATTCATGGAATAGATACCATAAATTCTCATAAGAAAAGGAAATCTTTACATTAATACCCTTGGGCAATAATGACCTTTATTGGTCATTATTATGACTTCACAAACAAAGGATGTCCAGGATTAAGGCTTCATTAAACCCTGGATGTCATGGCTTCTTCTTAACACTGTTTTTCTCTCAGTCACCAGGTAATTATTTTTTATTTCAGGCTAGTGACATTTTCATATTAAGTTGTGATTTTTCTTATTCAATGAAAATTGTTTACTGATCAAGTTCAAATATCATACAATTATCTGAAACCACAATATCACCCAATTAAGCCAATTTTATTGATAATGTTCCAGAATATGATGCATGCTATTGCCTTGGATGAAAATATTTTACCAGCAAATAGTCATACTAATTGCTTCACCAACAATGAATGTCTATTGCTTTGCTGAGAGTGGGATTAAGACTAATATGCAATGAGCTAACTGGAAAGTATTATCCAGATAACTCTAAATATAACCAAATCTTTGTTTAAAAAATACCAAATCCTGTACACCTTTTCTAACTTACCACATTTAAAGAGTGCACTAAAAATTACTGAAATTAGAACATTTAATTCAGGTTCTAATACCATGGTACCTAAGCAAAGTAATTGTGTTTGGATATTTTTTAAATATAAACAAATCAGGTTTAAAAATTCACAGAGCTAGACACAGAGCAATATCCTGGTTAAAATCATGTGAAAGAGAATCTTGTTATTAAATTTGTAATGTAACACTCTCATGACAAGGAATATAATAAACAAATTGACCAAAGAGTTTACAGAAGACACTAGAAAAAAGCTAGCTGATCTAATGAGAACAATAAAAAACATGAATTAACAGTTTAGGAAAAATTTAGAGTCCATGAAAATGTTTCAAAAAGAAATATGGGAAAATGAGAAATTAGAGATATTTATAGCTAAATGTATGCACATGGAGGTGATGCTCTTAAGTGAAATAAATAGGACACATGTGTAAATACTGAATAGTTTCTCTAGTGTGAAAATCTGAAAATGTAAATAAGGACTAAAAGGTATAATAGATAATGTGAAATAGGAAGAAAAGGGGCAAAGGGGAAGGGGAAGTGGGAAGGGTAGGGGAAAGGAAAGAAGGGAATGGAATTAATATGAGAAAAATATATCTAACTGCAGCTAGATGATGCAATGAGGAATGATTTAATTTTAATTGGAATAAGTGAAATATGAGAAGACAGAACAAAGAGCATATACCAATTTTCAGAAGTACTGGCAGAGAACTTTTAAATGTGAGGGGAAAATTCAACATACAGATAACTGAGGTAAATAAAACTCTGAATAGGCATGATCTAAAGAGTAAAGAATCAAAATCCTGGTATTTTGATTGGGATTTTGCCAAATCTGTATGTTAGTTTTGAAAGTATACTCATTTTGACAATATTGGTTTTCACATCAGGAACAGTGGGCATCTTGGGTTTTTAATTTGTTCTTTAGATTATGTATTGATACATTTTTTGTGTACTGCATATTGTTCAGTGTTTTTCTTGGCCACTTCTCACAAAATGTGTTATTTGATCCAGAAATTAAAACCACTCAGTTATTATGGAAAGGCACTGACTAACTCTCATCATTGAATTTGTTTCTTGTTGCTGATTTCCTTTTTTCCCCTCTTTCTTTCTGCTTAACTGCTCACCTTTCCTGCTGTATTCATTCTATTAGATTTTTTTTTTTTTATTGTTGGCTTCACTGAGTCTTCCTAGGATAATCTCGAGAATTTTTGTAGTGCTGGTTTGTGGATATGAGTTTCTTTTTTTTATGTATTAAATTCTTTTATTGGTACATGGTAGGTATACAACACAATTACATTTCTCATTGGGAATTGTACCTTTATATAATGCATCTTGGTTCTTATTTTTTCCCCATTCCTA